CAATGATCTTACAAGCCACTACTTTCCTAAAACTGTTTCTGAGAAATACATACACTGCAGCCCTTGAAGAAAAGGCTATTCCTGTTATGGCTAGAAATGACAAATTACAGGACAGATATATTATTGATATAAGGATTTGCTATAAGCTCTGCAACTCCAGGAATGCTTTAGCCCCCTCATTAAGCACATAGTGAACTAACTAAGAGCTCGTATTTCTGCAGAAAAGTGCAGGCTCAGAGAAGAAGTGAAAGCAGAAACCCTACAATGAGCCCAAGCATCCTGGAAAGAACAGTACTCACACTGTGAATCTGGTATATTCCTTCCCGAGTTAAAGATAAGCAAACCACAAGGACACTATCACAAGCTTGGTTTCATTTCAGTTTACATCAGTTCTGCCCATAGTCTTTGGCCTGACATGATATGGGCCAAACCTGCATCGTTTGAGGATGACACGGCCAGTCTGAGCAGCATATCCTCCAAACACCCACTGCCTGCAGCATTCGTCACTCCGCCTCTCTATAAATATTTATTGAAATGCAGATTCTCGCAGTAAAAGGCGGAAGAGCCAGACAACAGCTAGCAAAGCCAGAACACCGCAGAAAGTGCTTTGTCCAAGGCACATGTGCTTAGTGTACTTCGTAGCACAAGACAGCAACTGAAAAAATGATCCAAGCTAGCAGTTTTGCCAAGGCACCAGCGTTTATTAAGCCTGCTGTATTTTCTGGATGTAGCAAAGTTACAGAAGGTACTAGGAGTGCTTCAGAAGGGGATACTAATAACTAATTTGCAACATTAAATGCTTTTCCCCAAGTGGAACAAACAGAACTTGTGGGCCATCTCAACGCCACTTCTCACACACCACCTATTTGTTACCCCAACCAGTGTCCCCAAGATATTGCAAACTGCAACTCCCAGAGTTCCTGGATACTGGCCGAGTCTGAAGGGAATAGAAGTCCAAACCCAAATAGCACCATATTGTTGCATTACATAAGCCATTAATCCTTGATAGTTCCTGTTTCTTCACCAAGAAAATATATGCACACAAAATCTGAGAATCCTCAAACTCTGCATAATATGATCCTGTCAAGCTTTAAACTGAAATGAACATTCTGCACCCTAATAATGTTGCAAAATACCACTAAGATGAAAGCAATTGCATGAGACAGATGTGACAAATACTTTTTAAAACAAATACTCTGGATTTTTAAAGAAAAGAAAAATATTATTTTTGTGTATTCTGAATTTATTGAATACAGGATTCAATTTACCTCAATCAAGAAAGCCCACATTAACTACATTATTATACTGTATTTAAATTAAATATACTAATTCTAAGCCACTGTCAATAAAATGGTTCTTGTAGAGCATTCTCTTAACCAGGAATACTTTTATTACTGAATAGAATTGGAGAGTATTGGAGTCAATTAGACCTCAAAGTATTTAGCATAACATCGAAGGAAAATATGAAATAATATATATACATACATCAACTTCAATATTTACAGAACTGTCCTCTTCGCTTGCAGGAAGTGCAACAACAGCAACCACAAGTTTGCTGCATTAACCAGGAATTAGTTACCTGATGTGGCCAACTTAATGAGACTAAACTGTGCCCAGCTGTGTTTGAAACAGGTCCACAGTTACAAAGCAGACTTTAGTTTCTACAACTTGTAGATAACACAGATAACCAGCATAGTGTAGGGATAAAATGCTGAACAGGGACTTGTGAGATCCGAGTTTTAGTACCCACTTTCCTGTGAAACTCAGTGGGTGAATTTGGGCCATTCACAGACTCTCAGCCTAGCCTACCTCACAAAATGGAGAGGAGGAGAACCATGTAAACTGGTTTGAGTTCCTTTGCAAGAGGGGAAAGGGTCAGGTGTAGAAGTAATGAACAGATGTTAAAATTAGCCATAGTCTAGGATTTCAAACACACACTAAACTCTGGGTAATGGCAACTGGAAGTGCAATTTCCCTATTTCTCACAACCAGAAAAGTTAAAGGGAGCTCATGCAAGCCTAGATGACGCTTGGCATGAAAAGAATGCAAAAGGTCCAAGCATCAACTCCAAAATTTCTGGCTAAACAAGAGAACTCCTGTCAGTCAGGACAGAGGGAGATAGTGGGCCATTTCAATGATGGTTAATTAGTACAGTGGCTGATTAATCATCCTGCACATGCTCTATTTACAAATTATATTTACAACAGTGCAACTTCTTCTGACATCAGAAACTGGGGGGGGGCTTGTTAGAGTGATTAACAAAGCACCCAGATGGCATGGCCTGCTGTAGACCTGAGGGGTGTTTCAGCAACCACCCTCCCCAGGTGTGGAAAACATTGTTAGGTATATGCAATATTGCCTGCATTAACATTGCATGGTTCTGTCCACAGACCAGCATGGGAGGGAAGAGGTTAATGCCATAGACGAAATGAGACTGACCTCTCTGCTTGAACTAGAGGCTCCTTCCTTCATGCCTCCCACCTCACCTGGAAATTGTCACATGACAATTTGCCCTCCCCGCACCAGGAGGAGAGAAGTATGTGGTTTTTCTCTCCTCTTTAAGCTAACAATGAAGAAATCCCGCTCAAATATACCAACATCTCTCCTTCATGCAAGTCACATTTGGATTGTTTGTAAGTAAATAAACCTGTTTTTTAGACTTTTGTTAAGAACCCTCTTAGTATGGATTCTAATAAATCCAGTTGCAAAGCAACATCCTCTTAACTAAATCTACCCTTTAATGCTTACCTCTGCATGTAACAAAATATACAACAGGTTCCCAACAAACATGAGAAAATGCAACAAGGGAAACTTGAATTGGTAGCCTGCTGCTCACAGGTGGCACAATGGGGAACAAAGGGAACAAATAATAAAAATAGGGAACAAAGATGAGAATTTTGTACATTAATTTCCCTGCCCTGCATGCTGTCTTTTATAAAGAAACAGCTATAAAAAGATAAACACTGATCACGCTCAGTTAAAAGCTGAGCTAAATTTCTGAAGACTTTACCGTATTAAAAGTTGTAACCTAGGAAGCTGCATAATCAAGTAAAAAAAGTTAGTGTTACAACCCTTATCAGCTTGAAATGGGCATTTTCATTCATTCAAGCAAGCTAAGAAGCACTCCAAGGCCTGTTTTTTAATGGTAAAATGACCCATAGAGGGTCGTGAACTTCACTTGCATCAATGTGGTTTATCATGCAAACTAAGCATGAACTTGGTTTCTTATCCACATACAAGCCACCCTGAGAACTCATGGCTTACTGTTGGCTTGTTCAGGATTACTGGTCTTGTTCAGGATTACTGGTCTTGATGTGTAAACTTGGAGCAGCAGCTTATACTTAGCTTGTCAGAACAGACTACAAAGCTAGCCACTTACAAGGGCTGCTTTCCCCATCCTCCTCCAGGGCCATTCTCCTCTCCCCTGATACAATGCTGATCCAGTACCTTTGGGAATTGCCTTAAAACATCCATCATCTGTCTTTCCTGGGCCTTCAGAATGAGCAATCACCTGTGAACTATCTACATTCTTCAGTAATGCAGCTCTTAGTACAGTGCTATTGTTACATGCAGTCAAGTTGTCTTCAGCTTAGGACAGCTAGTAAATACAGTAGCTCTATTATTTATTGAAATGACATTTGTCAATTTTGTCTTCTATTTCCTTGACTCCCTAGACACTGAATCTTTTTCTCACCTTCAGTAAGATTTGTGCTATCACAACAAACCACATATTGTGCCCAGATTTTGTTAAATGGCCACATTTGGGTGCACAGAATTATGTTTACTCTTGTCTTCAGTTCTTTATGTGTTAAAAATAATATGAATGGCATTCTCGGAAATGAGCAGAAAGAAGATATGACTATCATGCCCTATACAGACAGTGACCCATAAAAGATATACACACCCATGCATGCTTTATATTAGAATTCAAGACTACAAAAATTATCTCAGTGTGGAATGTTTTAATATATTATATGCAATGCCAAAAACTCATGATACCACTGTAATCAAACATAAACCTTGTTTTCAATTTTATGAAAATCAGTAAATCATCATGCTCACTTGGTTTATATTCCATTTAGGAATGTAAACCTTTGTTTTGATTTCTTTGACAAAGTTCCAAAAATGGAGCAAAGTACATATTGAAACAACTTGCTCTGCTTCTGATGAAAATAAACAAAGTTCTCAAAGGTGTGGTTTTTAATTTTAATGTTCTACTGCATTCTCTGGCTTCCTTTAAACATTTTCATTAAAGGCAATTCCATGTTACAAAGACAGCAAAAGCAAAGCCCACCAATGGCAAGATATATGAATTCCAGGGTTCAACAATAACTTGTTTTTGCTTCTTGGCTCCAAGTTAGAAGCCTGAGCAGAATCACTTCTTTTAATGGAGAGGGATTTGTATATAACAATGATGCAGTACATTTAGAAAACACAGAAGTCAAAATGTAATGCCACATTAAATATGCATTTTTTCATTTGGATATTTTACACATCAACACCTATCCACCTATAACACAGTTACATCACAGAAAGCATTAATATCAGTGGGCCACTATGCCACTTATTACAGTGTTTTGTTTGAATCCTTTCTCACATTTACAAATTCAACCAAACAGCACATTTTATAAGAAACATATTCGAAACTTTAAGATGGCCAAGGAATTCCACATGATGTGGAATCCTCTCTCCTTTGAGAATAGCACCTAATGGACTTGTTCAGCACAGGAGTTTCAGCTAAAGTTTCTGTCTGGGGATGTGGTAAGTGAAATTTGGGAGGCAACATCCTCAAGGGTTTGCTAGTCCTGGTACATATAAAACAGTATATCAGTTGTTGCAACCATGTACATACCAAACCATGATGATATGAATTCCTTACTGAGACAATAAACTAGCATCATAGGCAGAGGAGAGCAGCACAAGCATTTACATTAACATTAGCAATGTATTTGTTGCCCATGCTTTCGAGAAGATGGACAGAAGATGAACACTCAAGTTACCTTACTGATAGAAGATACTCCACTTGTCTTTGTTTTAGAAGAATCGGCAATACCGGTATTTGCAGGTTTCTTCTGCAGAATGCAAAGCAAAATGAAATAAAAGTTTGAATTGTGATGACACAGGGTAAAAATGCTTCAAAAAAGATGCTGAATTCAATTTCTGGAACTCCCCCTCGGCTTGCTGGCACCCTGTATTGTAGACAGCATTTTCATGCAACTTCTTAAATTTAGACTGCTAACCTAGAGTTTATTTGGATGGGTGAATATAGGTATCGTGGATGACGTGCCCTGGGATGCATAGATCTCCGTTCATCATATTGAATACTAATGCAGGTGAAACATAGGCCCCATTCAAAGTTATGAGTTGTGCGTGTGTGTCCTTCATCCACAGGTTCCCTCTTAATGACCTGACTCACATGTCATGCTAAGCCACAGTGGATTGCCATCATGGGTGGTTTATTTATTTAGAATATTTTTACCCCGTCCTAAATAAACCAATTGTCTCAGGATGGCTTACAATATAAACTGGTTGCTCAGGAGCTTAGCAACCCAGCATAGCTTTTACATTGTGAGCTGTTTTTCACAAACTAGCCATCCTGAAAACCCAAGGCTTATTTAGTGGTAGGGTCTGCAGAGTAGCTTATTCTCAGGATGGTCTGTTGTGATGTCCATACCCAGCAGAGTCTGTTCAGTGTGGGGCATTTAAAATAGTGAAAGCTACCTGAGAAAAGTGGTGAAAGACTCTGCTATTTGCTCCTCATGATCTCACTATTGCTGCCACTATCCACAATCTTCTAGAGCTATCAGTACCGATCATTTCACCAGAAATGTACCTTAAATAATTGCACAAATGGGAAGGGTTCCTTCAAACCTGCACAAGTATGTACATTTGTAAAACCATGGCAAAACATATTTCCTGTTTTATTCACTGTTAAGTAGACAAAACATGTGTAAGCTCCATATACTCCTACAGCAATTACACCCGTAAGAAAGCTCCCATCTCAGTAACTGCCTTTCAGAATTTGCTGTCCATGTTATTAGAAGGGAAATTTGACAAGTGTTATTTCTAAATGTGCAGAAGAGATGCCAAGGTGCTTGGTTACTATACTAGCTACTGTCGTATTAGTATACTTTAAGAAGGTAAACTGTTTTCCTGGAAATGTATGCACTTGTGCAGGACCAAGGATAACACTGAAAAACCCAGACATTCAATCATATTTACATAAACATGAAGAGCCATTTAAAAAACAGATGCCATACGTACACATAAGAAGGATCTTTTTTAAAAGTATCCATTTTAATGAATTTGAATGATAGAGAATTTTTAAAAGAAAAAAAATCCTATTCCTGAAAAGCTGAAGGATCAAAACAAGGTTGCCAATATCAAAGTTGCTCAGAAAAGGACTAGCAATTTGGTGGTGGTGCAGCACTTCCCTCCATAAGATGTATGAGGCAACCTGAAGCACAACCAGTTGTACTTTGCAATGTGTAATCTGACAGCTGTATTGCAAATGGATGGATGAGGAGCTCTTGGCTGAAGGGAATGGAGCTATGCTGAAAGGGCAGCTGGGATATGTGCCTGGTGCAGGCAGGAAGACTGTAGGGCAAAGAGGCCAGGCTGTGCCAAGATGCACCTACCCATTCATCTGTAAAGAGTGGCATGGGGTTAGGGCTGGGGTTCAGCAACTACCAGCGCACTGTGGTTTAGTAGAGGCTTAGTACGGTGTGCGAACTCACACACTAACTTACTTACTATAGCACTAACCACAGCTTGCCCTGGTGTCTGGATCAGCAAACTATGGCAAAGGCTTTTCTAGCATATGGAAATCAGAAACAATGATTTGAAGCAGGTTTCCAGTTCACATTTAGAAGATAAGTGCTAGACGTAGTTTGTAGATTAAGACTTTATAGCAAGTTATCATTAGGGCTACACGGAAAATGGAGAAGGGAACTCTGTAGCAGGAGAAGAAGAAAAGAGAGGGGGGAAAGAGGAAGCACATATCCTCTAAATCATTAAATATTGGTGATAAAATGGAACACTGAAGTACCAGAAATGTCAGCTTTCATGGGGTGGGGCAAGAGTCACTCCATGCCACCTTCTAAGAATGCTTACTAGGATAGAGCAGCAACACTTCATGCCATGTGGCATATCAAATGATTATAATGATGTGATCAGTGATGCATGAACAACTGCAGATACCAGAAGTACCAACACATCCTTTCTTTTTTGGATACAATCTCCCAAGTCTACCAGAAAATGTCCACCCATTCCTAGCCTGGAACATGACCAAAATGACCATAAGAAATCCACCTCATTTAGAATTTTTTGAACTGAATAGTATTGTTACACTACTCAAGCACATTCAGTCTCTGAAATCCTACATATAACTGCTCAAAAGTAAATCCCAATGAGCTCAGTTGGACTTACTCCCAAATCTGTGTATACAGGATGGCAGGCTTATTCTCTGAGCCAAATTAGGCCAATCAAGATGACACTAGAACATGACTGTCAATCCAACTTACAAGAAATAGAAAGACACAGGAATTTTACCATGTTGCCATGAGATGGCGCTGTGTTAGAGCCCACATTATTGTTTGTGGGCTCCGGCAACTGAAAGAGTAGTTAATCCAGTAAAACAAAAGAAAAAAAAACACTTTGCATTATTGTGATTTTCCTGTCTTAGCAAATTCCTGTTCATGTGTGGCTGCAATAATTTGCAAAGTGCCCAAGTCTAGTATTTTTTAATGAATTAGTAGATAGTCTGCATGCATAATAGAAATTCTGCTCCACCCATGCCAAACAGCAGAAACCATGTGAGCGGAGAAGGGTGGATCTGAGAGGCTTTGCTGAGGCCTCTCTAAAGTGATCCAGCACAAACAGTAGTACAAACTGTGCTGCAGTGGCATTCAGGGTCTATGCTTTCCCAATTGCCCTACCAAGTTCCACTAAGCAAATTTTCTGCCTACCACAAACATATTTAAGCACACTGATGTAGTTTTCCTCTTGTCTAAAGTCTTTCCAGGTGCAGAACAAAACCCCAAAACTCACACAATTCCAGATGAAATTGAGCAAAATAATTATGGTGCAGTCCTATGGAGAACTCTCAAACCCTCCAAACTTGGAGGTTTATGGGCATCCTATGGAGAACTGGAAGAGAGCAGAAGCAAAAGTTGTGCCTATCCTCCTCTCAGTCTGCAAAGATCTTAGCCAGTTTTGGTCATCTAAGTGCAGTGCTTCCAAGCAGGAGGGAAGAAGGCTCCTGAGGCACCAGCAGGATCTGCCATATCTTGGTGGCACTAGTCTCCTCCCTTCCACACAGCACCCTCAAAAATGATATAACATAACAGCTACATATTTTATAAGAGCCAGTTTCTGCGAGTTCCCTAGTCCTTCTTTCTAGGTTTGAAATGCGCAAATTACCTTGGAAATTCCCACTTTTCAACAGCATTAAACCTGTATGTGACGCTGCTAATAAAAGTGCTGAGATACTAATGGTATTGCTACAATAGCATTGCTTTAAAAAAAAAAAAACCAAAAAACACACACCTTGCATTTTTTCAGCCACTGAACTATTACTGATACAAATACCATGGACCCAAACAATAACTGCTTTTTTATCAATTTAAGTATGTGGATAGCTACATATTTCCCATCCAACAAAAGCACTTTGCTCGTTCCACACCCATGTAATAGAGGGTGGTATTAGCAACGGGTTCAGCAGGTCGCTGAGGCAAAAGAAGAGCTGCCCCTAGACAAATGAGCTAATAACTAACCAGACAGATGGGTCTTTCTGCATTAAGCAGCTGGCTTGTGTCCCAACAACAATACAGTGTGCATTTGATCTCTCTCACTGGTGTACACTGAACAAAATGAGGTGAAACTATCATTTTACTATGAGAGAGACAGCAATAATCCTCTTCGGACCCATCTTGTCTGGTGTAAATCTGCACTGAAGTATGTAAGAAGAAAAAACAACCCCCCACACCCCAAAACAAAATCAAAGCAAGAACAACTGAGAATAACTGAGTTATTCTGTCACCAAGCCTAATAATGTACAAATATATACAGCAATGGAACAACCTTGTGCCACATAGCAATCACAGCAGAAATGAATGCACAAGACAAGTGGAAGCCAAAGTTCCTCCCTTCTTGTCTCTTAAAGAATGCTAATGCTTTAGTTTAGGACTTATTTCATAACATCAAAAGCAGTCACATTTCAAGCAACCTCTTTCCCAATTATTTTCCTTGCGAAAGCTAGCGAGAAATCAGGATGAGGGTGTTCCTATTCACCATTTGGTTCCTCTGGCTAGAACCACACGAAGTATTAATGAATGTGATTAATGTGATGAGACGCTAAAGAAAGCTGGTTTTATTCTGACTGGCCAACTCTGTAATTGGTTTATCCCTTGTCTATATTGCTAGACACTCTCTGGAAACACAGAGAATAAGTTTTCTCAGTGCTTACTCTCTGCCTTAAATACTTGTACAAATTGCCTGGCACGATCCATACAAAATCACTACCACCCAGCATGGCTGATTAACATTCTGACCCCATGGAGGAGGAAGGTTGCTATGAATTTCCATCATCCAAATTCAAATAGCATGGCTTCTTGGAGGGGAGAACAGCCCCTGGGTTTATTGAAAGGTTGTTTCCCCTCCAACAAGCTGTACTACTTTGGAAATGCAGGTATATGCAGTACAATGAAGCACTGCTGTAATATGATGTATCCTGGCAGTGCCTCAGCCTCTCCTCCTTGTGCACTGAGACAGAAGATTCAGACATCTGAAACTGACACAACAAACAAGCTGGCGCATGAGGCAGCAACATGATGCCCATAGGTGCTACAGCTTAAAGTGGTCCACAATGATCATGGAGACTAGCTCAGTTTTGCAAATCAGCTGAACATATTTTGTGAATTACTAAGCATGCTTTAGATATTTGCCTAACTCATTGTTCTCTTGTTTATGACATATTTTCTTCATTCTCTTAAACATAACCTTACTCCACTTCCTCTGATGACATCTCCCAGTTCCTTGTAGAAGTTGAAAAGCATAATAAAGTAGAAAACTGGCAATTAGTAAGACTATGCTATCAACATTTTCTCACTGGAAAATAGCACTGTTTTCATAGAAGGTTTAGGAAGTTGGATATGTTCTTCAAAGACCTGTTTTCCTATTGCACCTGGTAGCCCGGAGTCACTGGTAACACCACACACATCTCTGTACCATTTGCAAGTTAAGTGATGGATAATTATCTGTCAAGCACATTACCTCTATCTGCAAAATGAGAATGCATCACTCACAGAGATGTGAGAAGGCCAAATAAGTACATGAAATATTGTAGAACATGAGCAGCACACTCTTGTGTGGCTGTCTATAACCCTCGAGACATGGAGGATTACAGGCATTCAATGGAGGGAGGAAACATTGCAATGGCCAGAGTGAGCTCTGTATTCCTCCTGCCCTGCAAAAGACTAAGGCAGCCAGTTTCAGATGTCTGCATCTTCTGTCCCTGTGCACAAGGAGGAAAGGCTGAGGCACTGGCAGGATACATCATATAATGGCAGAGCTTCACTCTTCCGCATGAACATCCAGCTCCAAAGTTAATCTTTTGACATCTGAGAGGCAGTGAGAGTGGATCTTTCCAAGGTTGGGGTCCTAGCTCTAACCTTGAAGCATGTTTCTGAGGTCAGACCTGGGACTCCCAACTTCTCCTATGATCAGCCAGATCCTTTCTAGCAGCCTTAATAAGGTTCCCTAAGAGCATAATCCTGCCAAAGTTACATATTTCATAGTCTACTGATTTTGTGTCCCAGTGACACTGATGAGGCTTAAAGGATGTTTAGCATTGGCTGGATTGATCAATAACAGTACAATCTATTTATGTCTTCTCAAAAGTAAGCCCAATTCAGTTCAATGGGATTTATTCCTAGCTAAGTGAATCTAAGATTGCAATTCTAGTGCTACATGAATGATGTTTATTGTTATAATGACTGTATTGATATAATTAACAATGTGGTTTATGAATTCTCCTAGAAGACATACTTTACGTGAACCATCTTGTCAGTTTTCATTAAAGAACAGTATATAATTTTCTATGATAAAAAATTAACATTTGCAAAACCACTTATCTCTGAAGGTTGGTTCATTCATCTTAATTGTCCTAATGTTTACTACCTTTAATCTTGTATGATTAGTATATACACACCTAATTTGCATCCATAAGCAAACATCTTACTCTGTTACCAAGCCTGTTCTAAACACCAACAGCCAAGACCAGTTTTTGCACTACGTTAAAGAAAATGCCTGCCTCCTCATGCCCAATTAATATTTTTTGTACAGCAGTATAATCTCCAAAGCCATGTCTCATGCAGTAACAGTTTGATTATTTCTGCCAATAGTACTATAAACCTGGTTATTGCTTCTTGGTAGCATTTCTCACCAATATTTTCTTTGAAGTCATCATTAGTCCTCTTTCCATGAAGTTAAAATATTGTGTGCATCACAAGCTATTCTAAAAGTTTAATCATAAACAGGTGCAACATCACAAAATACCCATTATATTTGATTCAGACATAACACCAAGCCAAAATGTAGTTAGTTTAATTATGATTTCTTTGAATGCCTGAACCTATGTAAAGCAAGAAAATACATTTCCCCCACAAAAAGACTCTTAGTTTAAAACAATGTTCGCAGATGGTTTACAATCTGTCTTACAGTAACCACTGTTTGTCAGTGAGGATGGTCACATGACCCACTGACTCACAAAGACTTATTTAAGCCACAAGGAACTGTGCCAATCACAGGCAATGCCCTGAATATTCAACACCAGGCCATGGGTTGTTGTGTCATGTGAACTCCATTGGTAGGGGTTACACATGTGCAAGAGGCCATTTTGAATACTCAAGGCCCAGCCACAGCTTATTGTGTCACCTGAGCTCTGGGAACTTCGGCTATGCAAGGTATTTTATAACCTTAAGAGTTAATATGCAGAACCTGCCCAGCTGTTTGTCTGTGTGAATAAGGTCAATCTCCTGTTTGTAGCTATAACAAACAATGGTTATAACAAATATTGACATATTGTTATGTGTGCACTCTTTGCTACATTTGGTTGCTAATCATTCGATGAAAATTGCAAAGAGCAAATTAAAGTAAATTTCATAGATAAAATATATACCTACAGAAACTGTAAGGTTTCTGTAGTGAATAATAATGCTAAAGAAGATATAGAATGCTCTCTTTTCAAGACAAGGCCAGGAATAGAAATAGCCTAGCTAGAATTGTTTTCCCTTTACTCCCACCATTACCACAAAGTATTTGTTTTCTTTCCAAATAAAGTAACAAGTGGCATGAAGCAGGGAAGGTAGGTTCAGAACATGGAAAATAGGATGCCTAAATTATTCAGATGAAAAGTATATATTAAGGGTATGAATAACTATATTATTGCACAACTCTTCCTGGAAATGAAAATAAAATGGAGGAGGATAACATGAATTGCTCAAATGTTGAAACAGAAAACAACATACTCTGAGTACCTATGGGGACTGGCTCTTCTGATACTACAAAATGAGTAGAATAGAAAAGTAGAAAGCAAAACCCAAACTCAATGGCAGAAGTCCCGATCCCTAATCAACTATAACAAGTGATCGGAGATGAAAACCACTTATTTTACCATAGGTGGGGCTTGGACATCTCCAAGAACACAGAAGCCTCTCTAAAGTCACTTGCTGTATTCTCTTCTCTCTGAATTTGGGGCACTATTAATGTGTACTATAAAATAGTGACATTTTATAGCTTTTTGTTAAGTATATATGTTCAACACCACGGACATGGAAATGTTACCCTTTATTTTTGGGGAAATAAATGGGGTTTCACTGATCTTAAACATTTCTAAAACATGCATATGCATTCACAGAGTTAAGCTGGTAGGTGATGCTACACTACACCACTGTCTTTGGTCAATTATTCATGCATTTCTAGCCTCTTCATCTTCAGGGACTAGGAATTCAACACAACACATTGCTTTATGCAGGTAGGCCAAAAAAGGGCTTAGGCAATGAAAGAAGTGAGTCAACAGACTCAGAGAGGATGTATTACAGCAGTCCTTGTTCTTCAGGCAATATGATATTTAGTCATCTGTCTAATAAAAGGGCAGCAGAGGTCATTTTACAAGTGAATTGCCATTCATTTAGGAAGTCTCAAAAGACACGGCTGAGATTTTAGGTGACATGATGACTGGTGTAGTTGAAAAGTCAGATGCCTGCTCTTTTGAACTTGGGAGGATGCAGTTTCAGTGTGCTGGGCAAGTTACATTAAAAAAAGCTGTTTAATCTCTCTTCTTCCTTGTCTCTCCATTTCTTCCCCTCCTTCTGTTGCCTTCCCTCACTATTAACATTAAGATTATAAACTGTTCGGGTCATCTGTTTATTTATGATATCCCGCAAGGTGCTAAATAAGTGAGTAAATACTTTACTATAAGCACCTTGCTAGCCAGTTTTTAGGGAAAGCAGATACAAATATCTTTTTTATAAAATAAAGAAAACCATTTGGTTATAATCATAACTGCAAAATATTATGCTACCTCTGCCGCTTCTCCTCCTTTTTTATCTCCTGCTGCTCCACTTGCATTTTTATCACCATGCTGTAAAAATAAAAAAATAGAACGTTAAGAGAAACAAATGTTCTACCCAAAATATCTTTATAACTCAGGTTCAGCTACTTCTGTCCATCCCACAGAAATTTCAGGCTTGTATTTCTTGAATAGAAACCCTCACCTTTACTACACAAACTCTCTTTCAAGAACTGTTTGTCATCCACTATAGAGGTCTGATGTTTAACCAGTCTTGGGTATGCACAAATAACCAAGAGCATCTAAAGCAACTTTCAGGATTATGATCGTTATATTAAACTAGCAAAATGTTCACTATGCTGAGATAAGGAGAGGGCTTATACATTGCAAGGATCCTTGAAAAGCAAAGAGTACACAGTGACCTTTACATTGAGCATTGATGTTTCCCTTTGATGGAGAGTGAGCGAGTATTCTGAGCCCTTCTCTGAGGATTGCAAACTGGTGGCCCTCCAGATACTGATGTTCTTCGGAGCCTTGCTAAATCAAACCGAAAGCCCACTAGTCCAGCAATCTGTTCAAATTGTCATCAACCGGCTGCCTGTTGGAAACCCACAAGTAGACAACTCCTTGTCATTCAAGGAAGCCAGATTTCTTCTGCACTCAACTGAGTTTTGTAGTCCATTTAGCTCGCAACCATTATTCTAAATAATGGGAGAAGGAGCCGTCATGCATAGAGGTGGCTCCCCTCTTCAGACCTTTGTTCCCGATCTGTTTATGGCAGATAGTGAAGTGACAAGGAAGCAGTGCGAGCCAACAGTTTTCTCCCAACTGCAACAACTAAGATTGCATGGAGGAGAAATGTAATTGAGGTTGCAAAAGTCTGATGTTCTGTTTTATACAGATAGCAAGACAAAGATATTGTACCTAAAGGAACGCTTGCTCCCATATATGCCCTCCCGCCCCTTGAGGTCAGCAGCAGATGCCCTTCTCCGGGAACCATCTGTGAATGACATCAGGAGGGTGAGTACCCAGAGGAGGGCCTTCGCTGCGGTGGCGCCCCATTTATGGAATGCGCTCCCCAGAGAGATCCGCCTGGCGCCGTCGTTATTTGTTTTTCAGCGCCAGGCTAAGACCTTTTTATTTAAAACTTATTTTAATTGTTAATTTATTTATTTAACTAGGTTTTTTTTTAATTTTTAGCCAAGAATGCACTGAGGTTTTATTGTATTGTTATTTACTGATGTTTTGTGAGCCGCCCCGAGGCTTTATTGCGATGGGGTGGCATATAAATGTTTTAAATAAATAAATAAATAAATAAATAAATGTACACTGAAACACTAATTTAACCAGTTTTGGTCTGAGTAGAATTCTTAAAGTTAATCAATACCACATGGCTTTGTCTCTGATGTTTCTTTATTTAAAGCATTTTTATCCTGTTCTTCAGCCAAAATGGCTTCTGGAACAGTTTATATATATTCTGGCCCAAACACACCTCAGCTTCTTCAGCCAATATATGCACCGATTGGTTCCCACATGCTACATGTGTATGCCTACTCTTCACTGCTCAAGTGCACTACAAATGAAGAGTTCTTGGATTAATTAACCATACCTTCCCATTACATCTAAACCAGGAAACTATCATTACCAGTTTGGAACAAGTCAAGCTCCTATAGGTTGGCACTTCAATATCTCTATGCATGAAATACAGAAAGACCAGTTTATTTACCAGTTTATTACCAGTTATTACCATTTTATTTACTTAATGAAAGGTATTGGCAGGAATTTAAATCCCCAATCAGCCAGGTGCATTTGCCTAACTGTGAGAGATAAAAGCAAGGTCTACCAGAAAAGTTATTTACTGAAGCTAGCACATGCAATAAAAAGAAGCTCACTCTTCCAAAAAGAGATCAGCACTCTTGCTAACTACATTGAAATGGTTTTATACTTTTAAGAGCCAACAATCAATCACTAGTCAGTCATCTTGATCTTTCCCCATCTCCACCTTGATCTTTCCTTCTGCCCACTGTTGACCTTTGAAGGTAAGACATGCTAAGTTACAACAATCCACCCTTATCCTACCATTGTAAAGACAAGCAGGCAGACGCCTATCTTCCCTGTACGTGTTCTGTAGCACAATTACAAACAAGAATGCAATTTCAGCTAAACAGCTTCTATTACACTAACATTTCATTCATACACACAAAAATTGTTAATTTCTGCCTATCACAGATACACAAGCTTTATGACTTGAGGTGTCTCTTGGCTCTTCTGCAGATTGGAACCAGTTAAAACTGCTCTTTAAGTCAAGGCTTCAGCAAGGTTAAAAAGAGTTAAAGCACAGGGAATCATAAATTTGATATCAATATCCCACCTTTATGTTTAAAAAATCCAAGACAAGATAATTGCAAATTAACCAAAATCAAAATCCAACTAAAATACTGAGGCATCGATAATACGAAAAGTAATGTCTCAATTTATAAATCAGTGATCAAAGGAACCCCTAAGAGAAAGACTGGGACTGAGCAGTTGTGCTGAACATGTACAAACTTACTGCAAAAACTATATTTAGGTATTTTTAATCAGCATTTGCAAAAACATTCACTGAAGCATAGTAAAATACCATAAAAACATGTTCTTGTGAGTTCCAACTCTTTGATCTATAAAGCACGCCTCATAAATTAAAGACTAAGGCCTCCATTAAAGACAATAGGACTTTTATGTGCTACAGATTGAACTGATAAAATAGAAGTACACCGATAACCAAGGCAATTATTCCACACTAAAGCTACAATTTCACGTAAAACTTGGATTTCAGTATTTTCAGAGTCAGAACAAATAGCATTTTTGTTCTACAGGAGCCCCTCAAATATGTTGGGCATCAACTTCAGTCATCCCAGTGGTCACGTTGGCTAAGGTTGGAAGCTGCAATCCAACATATACAGTAAATGCCATACTGGGGAAAGGTACTTAAAGGATTTCTAATATCTCTGCAGCAGAGCCATGAAGAGTCCTCCAGGAGTAGAATGTTCAAAGGCAAAGGATAAGACAGAAAAATCCAAGTATTGCTAATCGGTATACAAAAATTAACATCTCACCTTCAAATGTTCAGAACTCACGCCCTTGGAAAGGCTTTCTAAACACTATGGAGCTACACTCAGATTTTGGCATGTGCAATTGGGCTGAGTGATTTTCTTGCCCCCTCCTCCTTCCATCCCCCAAAATGCTACAGCATGTTTAGGAACTTTGCTTAACAGGACAGGTTGTAATAATGAAGAAACAGGGATGCCTGAAAACGAAGCTGATACACATCCCATAAGTAGAATTCTGCTCATAGAAAGTAGCTCTGCCCTGTATTATCCTCTTGGGCAAATATCCATTCTCTCTGAACCACTCCCTGAACTACCCTATTTAACAGAAGGCCCAGCCTCATACATGATTTTCAGATGGGGTAAAAGGAGTGTCATGGAGAAGATGGGGAGTCTAATTACAGCAGCATATGCCTAAATTTGGATCCAATCCTATCTTCCTTACAAAATAAATTCTATTCTCATTTCCCCACAACTAATAAAACACAAACATGCACTGTTGCATTGGATAATACTGCAAAATACCAAAACAAGAAAAATACTCGGTTTTTCACACAATTGTTCCCCAAAAGTCAAGCTGGGGGCAGGAGAAAGAGACAGACTATTTTGTATCCTTTAGTGGACCATCTTTGCTGGTGCTGGAATAAAAGCATGAGTGCTATATGTTAAACAGGGAGTGCGTCCCTGTTGGTTCTTCTGGACCCCTCAGCGGCTTTCAATACCATCGACCATGGTATCCTTCTGGATAGGCTGGCGGGATTGGGAGTCGGAGGCAGTGCTTTGCAGTGGTTCCACTCCTATCTCAATGGCCGATTCCAGAAGGTGGTGCTGGGGGACTATGGCTCTGCACCATGGCAGCTATGCCATGGAGTACTGCAGGGGTCCATTTTGTCCCCTTTGCTGTTTAATGTCTACATGAAACTGCTGGGAGAGGTCATCAGGAGGTGTGGGCTGCGGAATCACCAGTACGCTGATGATACCCAGATCTACCTCTTGTTTTCCACCAATCCAGGTGAGGCAGTGGCTGTGCTGAACCGGTGCCTGGCCGAGGTAATGGGCTGGATGAGGGCCAATAAACTGAAACTCAATCCAGACAAGACGGAGGTCCTGTTGTTTGGCGGATCGGGCTTCAGGGAGGGTGAACTGAACCTAGTCCTGAATGGGGTTGCACTCCCTCTTAGGGACAAGGTTCGCAGCTTGGGAGTGCTCCTTGACCCAGAGCTTTCACTGGAAGCTCAGGTGACAGCGGTGGCAAGGAGTGCTTTCTTTCAGCTTCGGCTGATCCATCAGCTGCGCCCCTACCTGGAGTACGACTGCCTGGCGACAGTGACACACGTGTTGGTGACTTCCTGACTTGACTTCTGTAACGCGCTCTACATGGGGCTACCCTTGAAGATGGTACGGATACTTCAATTGGTTCAAAATAGAGCTGCCAGGCTGATGACAGGGACTGGGCATTATGTTCACATGACTCCAGTCCTCCGTCAGCTTCACTGGCTTCCCATTGAAGTCCGGGCCCAATTCAAGGTGTTGCTGATGACCTATAAAGCCCTTAACGGCTTGGGTCCTAGTTACCTGAAGGAGCGCTTACGTCCATATATGCCCGCCCGCCCCTTGAGATCTGTGGGAGAGGCCCTTCTCCGGGAACTCTCCGTGAAGGAAATTAGGAGAGTACTCGGAGGAGGGCTTTCTCTGCGGTGGCACCCAATCTATGGAATGCGCTCCCCAGAGAGGTCCACTTGGTGCCGTCGTTATTTGTTTTTCAGCACCAGGCGAAGACCTTTTTATTCAAATGTTATTTTAATTAATATTATTTATTCATTTTATTCTTTGGCCAGGGCGACTTAATTTATATTGTTAATCTATATTGTTATATTATTCTATTTTGAAGTTTATTTATGGTTGTGAGCCGCCCCGAGGCTTCGGCGAATGGGGCGGCATAGAAGTCTCCTAAATAAATAAATAATGTTTGTATACCTACATACA